AAAATTATATTTCAACTTAAAAAATATTAAAATTATCCCTGTACTTTAATACTTGGTAACTAAAAATTCATTCAAATGAGAGACACTGTCTGGATCAAGGTTATTTACAGCCTGAAACAGAATCACATTACGCAGATCTTCAATCAAAAATCCATTCAAATGAAAGACACGATCTGGATCTGGATTAAAAAAAGGGCACTTTTTTTTAAGCTCAAATTCTTCCTCTATTTTCTTGAACAGCTAAGATACTGGTAAGTGGAGTCTTGGACGTAAAAAAAACAATATAGGAGCTTGCTACAAGAACTATACTTCCAGATCATAAGAAAAAAAAAAAAGCATTTACCATTCATAACATACATCAATACAGACATTTATAACCATATATAACATCATATATACAATTTAATGTATTCAGTGAATAAATATAATTTGCTAAAATAAAATGTTGAAACAAAAAGTAAAAATACAAAAAGCTTTGCAAACCTAAGAATGATGAAAAGGCAGTATACATCAACTCTTGTCAATAAATCAGCATATCATTCGTGATATCATTATGAACAATTGGGGCAAAAGGTGGCCAATCTACAAAACAAAAAATAGAAGTTCTAGATTGTCATGACATGAATGAGAGGTTAATAGGCCATCAAAGGAAATAGGAACAAGATACTAAGTGGATATTATGAGTAATCAACAAACTATGTAACATCAAATGCAAGTTACCTCTTGCTAAAACCTCTTCTTTCCTGCTTCACTTCCTTGCTGTATATCCCAAAAGAAACCGATGAGTGTAACTTGTAAAAGTATACATGTTTCTCGAGTTCAATCTCCTTGATATTTCTCCTACAGCTGGTTAAGTTTGACTGCCACGGCCAATCTCTCTCTCTTTCATGTTCAATTCCTAAGATAATTTGAAGAAATCATAAAACCATAATCATTGCTCAATTTCATAAAACAAGTGGGAAGAGGCATGCATGGTGATGGACGTTAGGTAAATACACCAACCTTAAAACTGGGTTTAGTAACTGTAGCAGGAGGGATATCATGATTTGCATCCCAACCATAGTTGAGAGCAATTGGTTCTGGAGGAAGAAAGCCTTGAAGGGTTATACAAATTTCAATCATTGATCAGTAATCAGAATCAAAACCTTTTAACTGTTTGTGCTTCTCTACTGTCAACGGAAGTTTCTTACCATTAACAATTTGGCAGGTTCATAGAAAGAAAATAATTTGATGGCATCTTCATGCTTGTCTTTGCTCCACTAATAAAAAACAATCCTCCTTTTCCTATTGGCTTTACCATTAGAATCTCTCTTCACTATTAAAATTAACATCATCAGCATCATCACCAGGTTCCCCCTTCTTCAACAACCTCACGAGCATAAATCCATGCATTTGGAACGTATATGTAAAACAAAAGAAAAATGTAAGCTAAGAGCGTAAAATCTAGCTCCATAGGAAAAAAAAAGGTTAACTATCAGAAGCACTCCAGTAATGTGCATATAAGAAAAAATTTAGGCATTGAAGCTACTGCATATGGTTGAGGAAACGAATTAATGGCATTCAGAATTGCAGTATTACCATCTGCTAGCGCACAACTGGACTTTTGACTTTGCAAAAGCACGATATGATGAACCTGCACCTCCAGAGGAGCTTTGTCACCCTGGCGTTTCTTTCTCTTCAAAGGCAAACGGGAAATAATTTTTGTTATTTATTGGCAGATGACCTAGTAACCTGATCATGTAGGCCTCTACAAGTACCCATCTTTTCACAATCTTGATAATGAGTTTGAAATACCAGAGAACCTGACAAAAGAAAAAGAAAAAAGAAAAAAAACCTTTAGAGCTAAACAATCAGTTTAGCAACGAATTCAAACAACATCATAGAATTTTTTTTATTAACAAATAACAATAAATGAGAATATAAGCAGCTCAACAGGCAAAACGGCCTGAATGGCACTTGGAAATGAAAAAAGGATTTCAAATTGATGATAGAGTCAGCTTATCTATCAAGCAGACAAGCCCCCAACAAAGAAGAGTAGAATGCACCAGGTTCATCCAAATAAAAATATATATATATATATATATATATAAACAGAAATAATTGAACAAATAACATTATTGTCAATGAAATCAATGACTGGCCGATTCCCATTTTCTTCTGCTTTGCTGTTCTGACAAGAGAAATTCCCTGTGCTTGATAAAAGGTCCTAACACAATATCAAGCTTTAAAATATGTTAGAATTTAGAGTCAACAAGAGATGAACGAACTGGTCCTAAGAAAACTATAGGAATTAAAGACATAGTGAGTGATGCAATTTGATTCCATAATACCTACCTGGTTCACAAGATGTTGAAAAATCTCAGTATGCATATTAAAAATAGAAAAATCAAAGAAAAAAAAAGAGGAAATATTAATGTTCCAGCCACGATTTTATTAGTTGATCATCTTTTCCTAAATAATTACTTAAGGAATGTACATGAAATTCTGATAGCGAATTTTCTTTATTAACAATAAATATATGAGAAGATAAGCACTTCAAGAGGCAAACAATTTGAAAGGCAGTTGTGATCTCCAAAAGAAAAATGTTCTGCTTGAAGATAGCTAGAGGCAGAATCAACTATTCTCAAAAATATAAACTAAAATAACCAGAAAATACCTACTTGTTATATCTTAAAGAATTTTCAACGTTTGAAGGTTACTACTCTAAGAAAGCTCTTGAAGCCTGAACAAATTCAGCATTCCACAGTGCAGCTCACAATACTTCGGGATGCATCTGCATGAAATTCAGAGAAGAAATTTTGGCATTGCTGCTTTGCCATAGAATTCAAAAAATTCCAATTACGGTAGCAAAAGAATTCATCAACAAAACTGCTAGCTGGTATACAAACACAAAAACATCTCATCAATAGTGGACCAAGAACTTGGATTTGGGGAAGAAGTTTAGAATGGGGCTAATCCACCATATGAAGTGAAAGTAAAAACTGGACAGAAGAAAATAGTTCACAATGAGACCATATGCCCTTTTTATAGAACCTTTGACTTGCAAGTTTAGGTCCAGTAACAAGCGTTACATAGTAACTTGGAGGACTACTATAAAACCAGCTAGACAAGTGAACGCTATTACCAACCTACTGCCATGTTTTACAACAAACTTTGCTAGTAACCTAACCAGATAACAATCATGAGTTTGTGTTTCTATGCTTGTGACTTGTGAATGTGAACTTTAACTACATTCTTGGAGAGGAAAGATGTTCATGAGACCAAAAAGTTGTGACTCAGCCACTTCTGGAGAACCTGAAAATGATATTAATTATTATCAGATACTTTATCTTATACGAAACTTTTAGCTTAAGAACCTAAAAAGCATATTACATTAATATTGCAGGTGAATAATATTAATTTCGAAAGGTAAGTACGGGATAGAAAACGAAGACAGAAAAATCAACAATTAGTACTTGTAGTTCTCTAGAGACCAAACCGATGTGCTGAACTCCACAACTCAAAAGGGCTCAATTTTAGCCATACATACCCAGAAATCAATTTATGTATAATGAAAAAGGGTATAAAGTGCTACTAAAAATTAAATAAAATTCTTAGTAAAAAACTTGCCACTTTGTATTTATGAGAGCAGAGTTCTTTTTTGTTATAGTGATTCCTAGACATGAACTTCCTTTGCTGTGCACTTCAATCTACAGAAATTGTTTCCTTTTGAGCAACTAGAACAATCAAGGAATGCAAATGATAGAAAAGAACATGAAATGAAATAAAAGATAATTGTCTAGTTAGGAAAAAAAAACCTTGCAAGAGTGGAAGAAGGCAGTAGGAGGCTGTCGAAGTGTTTTCCAGTTGTCGAGTCAGCAAAGCAAAGGGAATTTGTAATTACGACAATATATCAAACATGAAAGGTACATATTACAAAAATTTAAGATTTTAAATTGATAACAGATTCTCACTATATGAAGCAAACAAGCACCAAAGAAACAAGAGTAGAAACTCCCATAGCATAACATGCTTGACAACTTCCAAGTTCGAACACAGCAAACTACCAAAAGACACAAAACCAAGTTCATCCAATAAAAAAAAGGACATAAATTGAAAAAAAAAAAAACATTATTGTCAATGAAATCAATGACTACTGGCTGTGGATCAGTTCCATTTCCTTTTGCTTTGCCGTAAGAGCAGTAGTTCCCTTTGCTTGAGAAAAGACCCTACAAACAATATCAGAGTTTTAAAATATGTTAGAATCTGGAGCCAACAAGAGATCAAGGAACTCATATTTTAGGAATTGATTCCATAGTACCAAGCTGGTTAGCAAGATGTTGAGAAATCTCAATGTACACAAAAAAAAAAAAAAAAATGAAAAAGGAAATATTAATGTTCCATCCACATACATTACCCATGATTTTTTTAGTTCACTTGGGGGCTCAATTTCAGCAAGCCATACATACCCAAACCCAAATACTAATTTCTACATAAATGGAATGAAAGTATAAAACCCGTAAATAATAATCAAGTTAAAATAAAAATACTTACATAGTTGGAGTTTATGAGACAAAAGGCAGAGCAAAGGATCAAGGGTGCTTGCATCTCAATCTGTCCTACAATACCTCCTCTCCTACATCGGCTTTACATGTCAGACGCACTTTTCCATTGTTTTCGTTGCGAAGTGGAGGAAGGGGGTTTTTATTGGCACATGCTATTGGGGTCGCACGTCACTTATTTATGCAAGTATGCTCGGCAATCTGAAAACTTGAATATTTCTCAATAACTCCCCTTGCAGATGACAGAAATTTTAAGCAACTAAACAATCAAATTCAATTAGAATAAATCAATCAACATCTTACCACAATTTCAAGAAAGGTTGGAGTATGTTCTTAGCGTTTGGATGATCCCACTCCACTAATTCCCACCACTCTTTGACTCATCATCTATCTCGATTTCTGTGAGACGAGGAGGAGGAGATGGTTGGTCATTATCAAGCGCGGGCAGTAGTAAACGGATCCTCTTTAACTCCCAACATTTGTGTATTTCAATTTGTTCAATTGAATCACAAACCATAACTCCTTTGGCGCTGCAGATGCTCTTCAATTGGGGTAAGTTCCACAAAAGCAATTCCCTTAACTTAAGAAAAGTGAATTTATCCAATGATGAATCTGAATCTGATGATGCTATTATCTCCTCCATTTGTCTGCATCCATAAACATCAATTTGCTCCAAATTTCGGAGGGCCTGCAGTAGCTCAAGTGGAATCAACTTGCTCATTCCTGAACATCCACTTATAGAAAGAATTTTAAGATTGAAAAAGACACGTGGTGGTGGTGCTACTCCTTCCACTCTCCCAAGTACACACAACCTGGGCAACTTAAAAAGAGACAACATTTCAAGCTTATAAAAACACAATGAGTCCAAGTCAACCACGCACTCTATCTCTTCAGAATCCCAAATAGAACAGCATCTCAACATGGTTGCATTTTCTAACAAAGATGTTTTGTTTAAGCTGCTTCTCATGTTTTTACACTTAAGGATCCACAAATGCTCAAGCTTATCTGGAAGCACTACACATTCTTCTCCAATCTCGCACTCACAAATTAAAAACCTTACGTTGATATTTATTACTAAATCCATATGTTCTGCTATAGTCTTTTTCTGTTCTCACTCGAAGATCATAAGCTGTAAGACGTTGGAAATCTTTAGACTTATTGACAAAATAATTGAAGTCTTGTATGTTCTCCAATTCACATTCCAAACTCTCCAACTTGCTCAGTCTAGCAACCTCATTTAAATTTATCCTTGTATTAATTGCTTTCCATGGATATACAACCAAGTATTGGAGACTGTAAAGGTGAGGTAATATACCCGTTGGAATCTCTTTCAAATTTGGAGAAAATAAATCAAGATATTCAAGACTTACCAACATCTCCATGCCTTGAGGGACCACCTCAATCCCTGCCCCATTCAAATCCAACTTCTTCAATGCCCTATGCTCTGCTAGGGAAGGCAAGTACTCTAACAGCCGACAATTCCTTAACCGCAATGCAGAGAGATTCACCAAGTTAGAGATGGAATCAAATAAAGCTTCAATACCAGTTTCAGAAAGATCAAGAACCTTAAGTTTGACCATATGTTCAAAAAAGGAACTTGGAATCTCTGACAAATTAGGATTACATGACAATATCAAAGTTGACAACAATGAACACTTCGGGGAAAAACCAACTAGAATTTTTAAAATGTCATTTGCTATTAGAGACACCTTCTTAAGATCTCTCACCCACTCATTCTCATTTGGTACCTCTGTCAATTTCATACCAGCTTTTACCATATATCCAAATCCTGGCTGATATTTTTGATGGCCATGTCTCTCACTACTGTTGAGAAGTAGGGTAAAAAATCTGCAAATGGCTTTAGGGCGTGCTGCAAATGCCACTTTACTTTAGGCTAATTTTGCCTCCCACCAGATTTGGATGCAAAAGGGGTAACTCGAAATGCCCGTATGATACAATGAAGCGCCTTGTTGATCTTGCTTTTGCACTAGCAATATCAACCACTGAACTATCCTTTGGAAAGCGACAAAACAATAGTTTTTGTACAAGGATTTCTGCAGCAATCGAAGGGCAAAAATGGGTTGTTTTATTTAGATAATAGTAAGGGTTTGTTTTTGGGTTCAAGAGACAAAGAAGAGGAAGAGATGACTTTATATTTATAGGAGCAAGATGTCTGTTGTGAACAGACACTCCTTTTCAGTTATTATCAGTTTATTAACGGATAATAACTGAGTTTTCATGAAATTTATCCGTTGAAAATTCTTTCAAAAGTCATTTGGTTTAATTTGAACTCCAAATGACGTGTTTCCTTGCTTTTCAAAGTTATCCACTCTTTTTAGAAACTTATCTAAATTTTATCTATTATTTTGACGTAAATGGTTCGAATCAGAAAAATGTGATTCGAACAAAAATCATAACTTTTCGGATTTTAGTTTTACGTAAATGATTCAAATCATATAATTATGATTCGAACCAAAGTTACACTTTCTCAAATGCATTCTGTGCAATTGCTTCGAACAAACTTTTTGTGTTTCGAACTCAAATCCTGGAATATTTTGAAAATTCTTCAACAATCGCCCACCATTTTCAAAATAGAATAGCCCACCAATTGTTTTGGAAATCTTATGCATACATAAAGATATCTTACGATTTGAACCTTTAACTTAGTGAACATGTGTTGGCAAATTAATCAGAATTACATGGTAGACTAATGCTTTGAACCAGTGATTCTAAGTGATTAATTGAGCATATGTCACACACAAGACTTCAAGCTTTTCAAAAAAGGAATTCAGCATCCATCGACACAAAAATTGGCCATGTGTCTTGTATCCTTTTTATGAGCGCTGTTAGAGTCAAGTCTCCAACTCCTAGAAGCAGCACCACTTCCACTCATATAGGTAGATCCCATCAAAAGTGCCACCGCATTAAGCACTTTAACAGAAATCTGTTATAGGACCTATTAAGAGTAAAACTCAACCTCTTTTTATTTCATACGGTTATCAAGTACTCTTCCACTTGGGATGGTATTATTAATAAATTGAGTACTTGTAGTCACATCCATATAATGTACTTTACTCATTGAACTCAAGAGTTGAAGTTTTTATCAAGCGTTAAGTCGAGGTTCCATCCTGTATGACTTTTATCAACGGACTTGAGACCCATCCCTATAAATGTTTTATATACTTTTTCTCTTGTTAATCCTTTTGTTAAAGGATCTGCTAAATTTTCACTAGACTTCACATAGTCTATGGTGATCACCCCATCAACAATTAATTGCCTTACATAACTATGTCTTAG